GATAACTGTTCCGAGAAGCAACTAATGATGCTCATGGGGAACAATGAAGGCAATGATAGTGTGAAAACTGGTCTAGTTGGACAAGAAGAGCCAGAAGAGCATGCCACGCTTCACCATTTATCACTATATGTGTTTTGCAACTCGTCAGGCATAGTAACCATTTTCTACTTTTAAAATACCCAATACCTTTACCTCTCACATTTAGGCATGCCTATTAGGTTTATTAACTCTCTTTAGCTCATAATAGCTTCATTAAACTCTCACATTATCATGAATGGCTCAACAATCTTTATAATTTTGGATTTAATACTCATTTTCAGACATTAATGATCCCCATCTACCATTAATATCCAAACCCATGATTTTTAGGTTTAAATACTCAAAAAAACTCTCAATATCTTCATCTGAACCAATTGGTTCAAACTCATATTTCATACAGATCGAAAATCAACTCTACACTTCAAACATTAATTTAAATCTCTAAGAAAATGGGTTGGGAAACAAGAAGAATAAGTTAGAAGGCTTACTCTTAGGGTTTAGTATCTTTAAAGTATCTCCAATCCTCTTAAGAATGATGCCTTAGTAGTGCTCTTTTCGTTCTCTTCGTTTTTGTTTTTCCTTCCACTATTTTTTAGGTTCGATTCACTATTTTTACAAAAATTGTGCCGTGCATCACGGCTTATGGCACAAAGAGGTTCCGCCTCTCTGCTTTAGTCCATTGCGCCATAGTAGACCATGCTCACCCCATAGTGTGTGGTATAGAACCACGCACCTTCATTTTCTCTTCCTTTTTTTTTTGGCCTACATGACCTTTACTCGGTTTCGGACCCACATTCCAAGGTCATTATCAAGCCCAAAAAAGTTCTTAATCCTCTTGAACTAGACATCAATTTCACTAAATTAACCTTGATTAATTCATTTAGAACCCAAAATTTAAAAATTAGGATGTTACAGTTACCGCCTATAATATTTGGTAATAAAAAGGGGTGCCTTTTTGTCATAGAATTATGAACATTGATTTTTTTAGTAAGAATTTATTGAAAAAAAGCAGTGAGGCGAATTGAATTTAAGATAATATATAAAATGCAAATATGTGTGTTTATCACTGTTTTGAAAACCGGACCAGACCGGCCGGTCGAACCGGTCGGACCGTTGACTGGTCTGGTTTCTGATCTGGTTTGAAGGAAAAAACCATTTTCAGAGTTGAGCCGGGTTGAGCCGTTTCGAACCGGCGGTCGGACCGGGAACCGAATCCGGTTTTCAAAAACCGGACTGTTCAAAAAAAAACTTTTTTTTATTTTTTATCAAATTTTTTTTAAAAAAATGACTAATTTTTTTAATCATTTGATATTATAGTGTATCATATAGCTTGTTAAGTCGTGATAAACTTAAAATATTTAAGTTTTTTAAGTTAAATAGCAATTTCATATGTATTTCTTATATTTAAATTATTATATACATATATAATTTTTTTTAATTTAATTATTACGTCACCGGTTGGACCAATGGTCCAACCGGTTGAACCATACGAACCGTGAACCGCTGACTTTTTCGGTTCAATGTCCGGTCCGGTTCTGAAAACACTGGTGTTTATGCTAATAGAAGCTACATGTATTTCTTGCTTTTCGACCACACTAGAAAGTAGGAACATAAAATGCATTTATTTCATAATGAGCACTTTGAAAAAAATGTTTAAGTTCAGGGACCAGATTCAAAGCCCTTAAAACTATAAGGGATTAGGAGTAGAATCATGCAAATGGGTTACGAGTTGGGCTAGCCTGTCAGATAAAACGGGCTAGAAAATTCAACCCAAATTATTTTTTAGGGTTGGCTAGCCCGCAAAAATTTATTAAATTTTTTTAACAATCTAAAATTTATATAATATATATTTTTCATATTTTAAAGTAAATTAACAATTAAAGAACTTGTACATAAATAAAATAAGCATATAATTAACCAAGCAAATTTATTTTACTAGATTTTTATTATCAATTATCTTTTCGCTTAGGTGTATTATCTTTTTCATTGAGAAAAAAATTAAATATAAACCCATAGTATTTTTTTTAATGAATTTATATTTATGATTTCAATCAATAGATCTTATAAGATTAATAAATAATATATATTCAAAATATTTCTATAAAAACTAATAAGTTATTGATTTACAAACTATAACAAAAATCTTATTTGCAATTGTAAAAAAGAGTTACACTATATTTTAAATGTAAAGAACATATTTGAGAGTCATAAATTATATATTTAAAAAATATTATCATTATTGTAGATTTATAAAACAGATATAATATGATTAAAAAATAAAAAATTATTTAAAAAGTTATGCTAGTTTGTTTAGCCTGCTAGTTTTGTGAGTTAGATTAGCCCAACCCGTTTTAAAAAATGAGTTAATTTGTTTAACCCAATTTGTTATATTTTGCAGATTAAATGAGCTAACCTAAGAGCTCAACCCGTTTGCTCAGCGAGTAATGTTTCTTTTGATATTTTGTCCAGATCAAAAGATTGTGCTTGCCGTTCTTCTTTTTATGATAATGACTCGCTCAATGCTTCATTGTTCATGCAAAAATATATATTTTGAATGACTCAAAATTAATTTAATTTATTTATTTGAATATATTGTTACGTTTATAATAACTGGTTTTTTTCCATTCATTTTTAATTATTCATTCATTTCAGTCACGCTATTATTATTAATAATCATATATCTTTCCTGCGTTATTGAGAGGAGTGTTTCTCTTGGATTCTTATATGAAATTATTTATTATTAAAGATGCAATTGTAATTGCAAGTACCAATTTTAATGTAAATTCCCGTGTCAATGTAATCGATTCCCTTTTTCTTGCAATTCTTGACGGTGGTAGTGGTCTTCGAAGTTAATCTAAGCTAGATGCGTAAAAGTTTAAAATGGTAGATAAAAATGTAAAATCAAATAACAAAAGATTTCATAAATTAGTATTTAAATTCAAAAATAAAAGAAGTCTTTTATGACCAAAATTATAAATTATAAAAAATAAAGTTATATAAATATTTACCATTAATTTGTTTAATATAAAACGAAAAAAGTTGTATGGTGTTTGAATATTGCAATCCAAAGTTCTTATACTCATGAGTTTAAATAAATTCATAATAAAAATATAAATTTGGATCATAAATTCTCAATAATTTATTTTTATTAATAAATATCTATTAAAAATATATGATTAAATAATTTAAATATAAAATATGAATATAATTTAATTTAAATATATTTTAAATATAAATCATTGAAGTTAAATCCATCTGCATTGATAGATTATCATACAAGACATAAAAATTTTAGGATAGGATAATTTATTTTTGACATTTATTATTTTTTATTAATATTAGTTTTTGTTTTTTAAGTTTTTTTCTCTCTTTTTCAATAAGGTTTTATCACTTATATGAATCAAGTTTTATGTAACATATACTTAATTTACTCAACTCAATAAAAAATTTGACAAGCTTAGTAAGTTTAGCTAAGTTTTTATCTAATTTAAAATTATGAATTAGTTGATATGATCTTGTAAATTAGAAATGTAAAAAATTTAAAATTGAAGGCAAATTTGCTAGTTTAATCATGTTTATATTTAGTATAAATTTTTAAGTAAATTGATATACTTTTATAAATTAAAAAAATTAAAAATATTAAACTCGAAAAGTCAACTCAAGGATTTAATAACTATGCTGCAATCAATCAATATCTTAATGGTAACCAAAAGTTAATCAACTTCGTTACGAGTCAATTTATAAATAATCTTCTCTCCACCACTAATGAAATAAAATTCCTTATCTTGTTTGCAAATTTAACTTTAATGTTTTTTTGGTAACAAATTTCCCTTTAATGTTTAAACCAATACTATATGTGAAAATTTCTTGCTTCATGTGTATTTTTTTATTAAAAAATATAAAACATTTTTTATAACGTGAGATGTGAGATATTAAAAAATATAAGATATTTTAAATTTTTTAATTTGTAATTAATAATTTTTTTAAAATACTCTTAATTATGGTGAAATATTAAATATACTCTTAATTATAAGATGATATATTAAATAAAAGACAAATTTTATAATGAAATAAAATTCTTTATTTTGTTTGCAAATTTCACTTCAATGTATTTTTGGTAAAAAAAATTCATTTTAATGTTTAAACCAGTACTATATGTCACGTTTTCTTGCTTTATGTCTATTTCTTCTATGAAAAAAATATAAAACATTTTTTTATAAAGTAAGATATTAAAAAATATAAAATATTTTGAGTCTTTTAATACATAATTAATAATTTTTTTAAAAATACTTTTAGTTAAGAATATAATTAATAAGATTTTTAAATTAAGGCACCTTATCAAATAAAAATAAATGTGAAAAAATATGTAATTAAAGATAATGAATTAATTTATTCAGAATATAATTCAATTAAAAATATTTTATACATAATATTAATCAAATGGAGAATTAATTAATGAATTTTGATCTGTTGGCTTTTTAAAAAAGCATGAACAGTGCAAGCAACTACTCAATTAAGGCAAAAAAAAAAAAATCATGAATAATATCGATTGATTAATCTTGAAGTTCGAAAAAAAAATCAATTAATCAATCAATACGTATTAATCTATCGTCAATAAATGTATGCATAATTACTGCATTACATAGATAAAGAAAGGAATCAATTGAAGTTTAAAAAAATTGATTAATTCATCAATACAGCTGGTTTATCAATGAATTTTTCTTTCGCCACCTGGTTAATCAATCAATTTAACCGTCACTGTAATAAAGTAGTGCCACTTCACGAACAGGAACTTAATCAATTTCCCTTTTTTCGTGTATCAATTAGTGAATGTGTTGTATGAGGTCTGGATAGTCTGAGTCTGCAGGCAACTAAAGCAGTCAATCAATCAATAAATCTTTATTTTTTTTAAATCAATTAATGCATCGATACAGTTTGTGTATCACGCAATCAATCATTAATCCATCGATTATTACTGCAGTAAAAATACCTAAGTAAGGGAACACTAGAATCCTCTCCCCGAAGTTCTATAGAATCCTCTGCCCCTGAAAGACGGTGGGATCGTGGGGGAGAAAGGAAGGTAGATTGCACCGCGAAAATCTCCTGTACAAAACCTGAGTGCAAAATTCCAGACAAATTACCTCGCATTTGTCTCTGTGAACGGGGAAAAAGGAAGGTGGCGTTCCTTCGTCGGCGCCGGGTTTCTTATGTTGTCCGCCGTTCTGCTTCCGTTGTGCTTTGAATTTGTGCAGTTCTTCCATGGCTTCTGGAACTTCAATTACCGCACCTGGTACATTCTTCATCTGCAACTATGATGTTTGGCCACTCTTCGTGGTCTTTGATGTCATATCTTTGCTTTGTTGCAGAGGCCGTCCAGGTGCTGGTGTCGTTACTAGCCGATGATTCTCTCGCTGTTAGGGAGGCCTCCAGGGCCTCTCTCAAAGACATTGCTGCTCTGTGATTATCTCTCTACTCACACTGGTTTTCTCATTTATTCCTCGTGAAACTTAACTGAAAATTTGGTCCAATGTGGTTGCAGGAATCCTCTTTTAGTTCTCGAGTGCTGCGCAGTCGTTTCACGAGGAGGACGTCGGGTACTTATGCTTCTCCTTTCACTAGATGATTAGTTCCTCGGTAATTTGGAGTGTCGAATATTTTGTTGTTGGAATATTTTTTTAGCGGTTCGGAAACATGGCCGGTGTTTTTCAAGTGATGGCATTTGGGGTTCGCTCGCTGGACAAAAGAGAGGTCGATGATTCTTTCATGACAAAGCTTGCCAAGATTGCTACCGCTGAAATGATATCCTCTAAGGTAATTTCTGTTTTCATGCGGGACGATGCGTACTTGACTGAAGTAATGGATTTTTGACGTGGACCTTGGGACGTTTTTTTACTCTGCATTATATGGTAAAACGCTGTGCTCTTTATTTAATCAGTCCATATTGTGGAGAGAATTAGACGATCGCTGGTCAGTTATTGGATGTTGATGGTGGTTTGCTGGAGACCTTCCCAAGAAAACGTCACTTGTTTAATCCAGTCTTATGACTTGCGAAAAACACTTTTGAAAGATATATTAGTGTTTTGTTCTAAATTCTTTGCTCCGAATCCTTAATATTCTTGTGAAATTCTTAATTTCTTATTTTTTGAAGACAGAAGTCTCTCCTCTGTCCAATTTTTATTCCCAGATTCAATTCACAAGGCATCATATAGCGTATTCAATAATTGTATTTCTACTTAGTCCTAAATTTTTAATTTCTGTATCAAGTCTGTAATTTTGCATGCACTGATGATTGAAATTCTTCACTTAGCTAGTCAAAAATCCAAAATTTGACACATGTAACGCTACCTTCCTCAAATATTGCACCTAAATAAACTCTTGAATTTTGCCCTTAATTTTATCTAAACATTTCTATGAAATATTTGATTTTGTTCGAAGATCTAGGAAATTAGGTTTTATTAAGATCGAGTTTGGTTAAAGCATGGGATTTTAGGATGAAATTTGGTTAAGTTGAAGGAATATGCAAGCTGCGTGCTAGGCATATCTTATTTTTGTAAAGAGTTAAGACAATGATATCAAACGTGACAAAAGTGCCAACGATTTAAACCTCAGACCACTTGATTGTCAATTTTTAATCTATAGGTTACCAGAGTAAAATCGATCCAAACTTTAGGATGCCAAGCTTTATTTTACTTGATTAGTATTTCTGTTGTTGTTATTGTCATTGTTATTTTGTCCTGTGGTTTGGGTGGGAGAGCGAAGTGCTTTGATATTGTGTTCGTTGAAGTGTAACTCTAGAATCTTAAAATAGAGGCTCATTCTGCCTCATCTTTTTGGGGATAGGTTTTTTTTTTTTTTTTTTAAGCTTCCTTGTGGTCAGGGTTCTTCTTAACAGGCACTAATTGGTTTGCTTCTTGCTGTTGACGTGTACTTTCCACACCATACAATTTGGGTGTTAAGTTGGTATGTGTATGAGTTGTATACGATTACCAACAGGCACTAATGTGGATTTGAATTTTCAGTATAAATCTCTGTAACTTTGATGAGATTCTTACTTGGGGATTATTTTATTGGCATTGTGTTCTCTCTGGACCGTTGTCCAGTTAATGGCTTCATTGAATACCATATGTTGCTTAAGGTGAACTGGTACACGAGTTCTTAAGCTTCATGGTGACTGTTCTTCTGCAGGAAATCAATTCGGACTGGCAACGAGCAGCAACAAGTCTACTTGTTGCAATTGGTTTGCATTTACCTGACCTAGTAAGTTTTATGATTTTTTGTAAAGAGTTGCAATTGGTTTGCATTTACCTGACCTAGTAAGTTTTATGATTTTTTGTAAAGAGAAAGAAAAGAACAAGTTCATGGCATGGCTGGAGGTTATGAATTCAGCATCCTAATATCTCTGAATATTAGCTCAAGAAATCCCTTAGAGAAATAGTTGGGTTTATTATGAATTCAGTTAATAGCTTTCTTCTGAGAATTAAAATTTTATATTACGTGCAATTTACAAAGCTCAAATAATATCTCCCTTTTGGCCTTTTGGTTTCACCTTCATTGAGAGTAGTTGTGGCTTCTATATTTTTGAACCATTCGTTTATCCTCACTTCGAGTTTTTCTGGATTTTAAGCTAACTTAATATGTCTCAGTCTCTCGTATGAATTGGTGTTGCAGATGATGGAAGAAATTTTTCTTCATTTATCTGGGCCAAATTCATTACTGGCTATGGTTCAAATACTTGCAAAATTTGCTTCTACTGATCGTAAGTAATAAAAATTTTCTTTGTGATTTAATCTGCACAATCATCTTATTTTTTCTTTAGTATGTTAATTTTTTTGGTTGGTGGAATTAGTGTTGTTGTAAGTTCTGATGAGTGTTTATCTAATTGGAATTTTTTTTTTGGGGGTCAGATACACTTAAAAAACTTTCTTAATCGTTTGATACAGTGATGAAAACGAAAAAAAAAAAAACCTAAGGAATTAGGGAACTTCATAAATGCTTGACATGCATCTGCCAATAGAAAATGTAGGACGTTAGGAGATTCAGCCTTCTGTTTGACTTAGTTCCCTGTTTAGGATTTGGCTTAAACTTTCAACTTCACTATGCTGTTTTAGAGTGGAAAATATTTAACCTTCAGTATAGCATTTGATTTAAAATGGGTTCTGATGTTATTAGCAGTGTTATTTAAGATTCTGCTGGCGGTGGCCAATAGGACTGAGAAGAGGTCTTCTTGTGGTCTGGGGCTGGTGAGAGTAAGAGAGTGAAGTGGCCACTTATTTAGTTGGGAGGTTTGTTGTAGGCCAGAGGATTATGAAGGGTTGGGTTACGTGTAATTTGTTATCTAAAATGGTTTTCTTTTTTCTTTTTGACCTGAAAAATGATATTCTAAAAGCTTCTTCTTGCATTATGAACTGGCGTGGCATATTTGGAATAGGCTGTTCGTTATGTTTGGTGAGAAGTGGGTTTGACTGATTCATCTTGGGGGTTTTTCTGGCTATCAAGTTTAAATGTCTTGGCCCTTGGGGAGACAAAAGGAGCAAAAAGTTCTCTTCAGTTTTGGCACGTTTTTGGTGTCGTTGGCTGGAATGAAATTCAAGGATCATTAGTCAAAAAATTCATCTGAGAAATCTTTGGGGAGAGGATCATCATTATCACATTATGTCCTCTTGGTGGGTTTGATGAATTATTTCTTTTCCTCCTTTATGAATCTTAAAAGGGATTAGATGCTCATCTGCAATGGAGCTTACCTTGTATTCTCTTATTTCCACTTTTGTTTGAGAAGGATCTCTCGTCCCCTGCTCTTGTATCTCTGTCTATTATTTTTTTTCTTATATACATTGTTTTTTGTTTTTTTTTCATTAAAAAAATTCTTTGTTGGATATGCAAAGATGTTTGGTTTTGGTTCATCTTGCCTTAGGAGGATATCCTTTCCTTCCTTTATGTAATTCCTATCTTAAACTTTTCAGTTTTTGTTAAAAGGAAGTTCTGATGGGGTTCCTTCCCTTTAAATCTGGTACAGCACTACAGTTTATTCCTCGGTGGAAAGGTGTACTTTCACGAATTCTGCCAGTTCTTGGAAATGTGAGAGATGTGCATCGGCCGATTTTTGCTAATGGTATGATTTTAATTTTTTTTTTTTGGGTGGACGTGTGATGTTATTTCAACTGTAGCTAGGCTTTTCATGGTTCGTTGTGGTATGTTTGTCTGGCAGTACTGATCTGGTTGACGTAGCTGATGAATGGGCTCTGTCTGAATTGCTTGGGTAGTTTGAATTGCATGTAAAATTATTTTGTGGTAAATTTAGGCCATATCGGTTATACATGTCTTTGAGGCAAGCATGAAGTGTCTTGAAAACTTTTTGGTCCATAATAGATTAAAATTATCCAGCCTTATGAAATGGTTTGGTTTGAACTATAGGACCTCCTTTATTGAACTGCTGTTTAGCACATTCTGGCAATGGGATGGAACAAGCTCATAAATCCTGTATTAAGATTATTTTAATTTATTTTATTTATATCATTCTTGCCATACCATGACCAAAGTGCCTGCTGCCCTTTTCTCCTTGCAAACCTTTATGTTCCCATAAATGGTCTTGTAGGCATAGGGTTGTAGATTATGACTTTTTTCAACTAGTTTTAGATCGAATTCTTCTTGTCCTCCTTACTGATAATGCTGTTGGTTTATCTAATATTAGCATGCTGATTGTTGTGCTAGTTATTCTTTGCAGCATTTAAGTGTTGGTGTCAAGCTGCTTGGCAATATAATGTGGATTTTCCTTCGCATTCACCCCTTGATGGAGATGTCATGTGAGATATGACACATAGTCTTTGTTGTTCTAAATCCTCACGTTACTTTTTCTTATTGCCTTTCTGAGGGGTATATGAATGTAGTGCAGGTCATTTTTAAATTCTGCTTTCGATCTTTTTCTTAGAGTTTGGTCAACTTCACGGGATCTAAAGGTTTGGGACTAATCGTCATATTTTTTTTTTTGGTATTATTAATTATTAATCTTAGTCTCTCTTTCTTAGTTTTACTGTCAGGTGATGTAATTTTTGAAGTTGATTGGCCATTTGCATTCTTTTTATTTGGTTAACTATCCAATATATAGAATGTTAAGAAGATAGTTTCTTACGAGATATTCATGTGCCATAATCAACGTTATGCTAATATTTCATCGCAGCATTACACAACTAAGGTATCCTTTGAAGATGTGTTTGCTGCAAGATTTTCCAATACAATTGTTATAGGTGGATGTTGTTTATAGCATGATCGGTTCTTTTAAAGAAGTTCCTCTATATATTTTGCTCTATTGGAGAACTTGGCAGCAAATTAACACCTATAGACTTTCACCTAATTTGTCCTTTTCTTCAAAGTGTTTGTGATTTTCTTTGCACTTAGAATTTGCAAAGAACCCGAGTTGAACTGAGTCAAAAATGTTATCTTTTATCTTCTTTCATAGCTGCCATGTTGATTGTTGTATTGCTTTTGGTTTGTTGTGATCAACTATGATGATTTATTTAGCTAGCATGAGAAAATCAAGAAGAATCTAAATGGAATCACAAACTTGCTGTTTTAGGTTGCTGTTTGTGTCTATTGACATCAATTAGAATAGGTCAAGTGCAGTAGTAGAGAAGCTAATATGTCCCAGCCCACTAATTGATGAATTGATGACCGATATTTTAACCAGTTTGTCTCACTTTTCAACAGTCTCCTGTATTTTGGGCATGTATTTTAACCATGACTAGCTTTTTGCAAATGTAATAAACTCTCACCAATGAGAGCTTTAGTAAAAACATCTGCTGGTTGTTCACCAGGTCAAGTGCAATAATAGAGCAGCTACAAGCCCCACCCCCTAATTGCTGACACATAATCTAGTTGTCTTATTATTCTGCTAATATTTTGGTTGGCTGAACAGTTAAATAATGGAAAAATTGTTTTAGCTTTTTTATCTTTTTGTAGAGAAAATATTAATGTGGTTGAATTGGTTTATGTGAACTCTCTTTTTTGTCAACAATTTTTTTTATTGCCAAATATAGAGTTTTGTACCAAAAACACCTACAAATAACCTATGAGACTATGACTAATTCCAGTAATTCAAAACACACACATGAACTGTTTTATCAAGGCTCCCTGTCATGATTCTGAGCTATGGTTCTGTAGTTTCTATCACAATGTTTTTGTTTATTTATTAACCACGTATTTTTTAATATATCATTTACGTCATGCATTTGCCTCATTGTATTACACTTAGTAATCTTTTTGCCTTTTGTATCTAGGTTTGTGCGGCGTCTGTGGAAGCCCTGGGTCAGATGGTTGGTCTCATAACACGCAACCAACTAAAGGCTGCTTTACCAAGGCTTATTCCTACAATATTGGATTTGTAAGAATGATTTCCTTATTGTTTCAATCTTCATTTCAACCATTGCATGATGGTTTTGTAAAGTTTGTGAATAATAATTCAAGAATTTCCTCCTTGCATGGCTAAGAGAATTCTCTTGCTGGACAGATGTATTCAAAATGTTAACAAGGATTTAAGTATATATTGTTCTCCTCTTTTCTGGTCAGATACAAAAAGGATCAAGATACCGCTTTTCTGGCAACATGCAGTCTTCACAGCCTCTTAAATGCCTCTCTTCTGTCTGAAAGCGGTCCTCCTATGATTGATTTTGAGGTAATTCATACTATGACTTTTCTTTCGAACATTGCTTCTGAGTTGAGTATCTTCATCCTTCGTTTTTGTGCTGCTGGATATTTTAATTTCAAACATTACTGAGTATTTGATTAGGGTAAAGGTCAAGCAAAGCATCAGGGCTGTTAGTAAAAAAAAATCGCACATAATCATCTTATAATCCCCAGGGTAATGGTCACATGATATCGCCCCCAATAACAACTTTGACTGTTTTAATTGTTATTGTTATTATTTGTGTGCTACTTGTCAAGGACGTTAATTATGTGTAATTGAGACCTTCAAATGTGTTCCCTTATTATGAATATCTGCTACCTGCTCTTTTGCTGGTACATAAGTCATGCAGATAGTTCCTTCTTTAACTTTCCTTTCAATGATTATCTAGTCTTGTGTATTTTTTATTGTTGAGTAAACTGGCGGTGAATTTTAGGTAATTGCTTCTTATTGTTCTATTGAATGATGTGGTTGTCCTTGAAAACCTTGTCTAATTATATGAGTATAGAAACACTTGTCGAATGATCTATTGAGTAATGTGTTTTTTTTTTTTTTCAGTTTAATTCATATACCAGTCATGAAATAAACATGGGAATATGAGAAGGCTTTTCATGTTGTTGGAAATGTGACGTGGAAGTGGGTGTAATACTCTTAGCAAATGCTAGATTTATCAGAGCAAAGCTAGATTTGAAACATTTTTTTAAGAATGCCCCTTGAACTGAAATATTTATTCAGTTGAGTTCTTCCCTCATGCGACCATATTGTGAGAACTCCATAAATGTAGCTAGTGTAATTTGTCTGCTTCCTTTCTTAAGTAATTTCTTTTTATATTATCCTGCAATAATTAGTTCATTAAGAATTCATTTTTAGAAAAGAGAATTAGTATTTTTATCAATAAAGAAGAAAAATACTCGATAGGATAAAACTTCTTGTTATTGTACTAATAAAGAAGAAAAAAGATGATAGGGGATGAAGTATACCCCTAAGAAGAGCAGAAAATTAACTCATTGGTGTGGGTTTGCAGGACCTAGCACCCATTCTGTCAGCACTTCTTCTGGTGATTTGTGTGAATACTGATGGCAAAGAACAAGTGGGGCTGAAGGTATGTTTAACATTTCATTTTGTTTGGAGTAATTTTCATATAGTATCTTTAGTTCCTCTTGTTAAATTCTATATACATTCATTTTATTCCCAATATAATTTTTTAAATCTTTTGAATTTTTTGGGACCATGATAGGGTTCCTCTACCAAAGAACTAACAGCAGAGAGAGCATAGAAAGTTTTTATTAATGGTGGTGGGAATTCAGTCACTTCATTAACGTAGGGGAATATTTGTACAACTCATACAACACAACCTACGATCCATATGTACAAACTCATCACAGCAAAGGATTAGGTTATATTAGTCCTTTGCTCAATACACAACGCATTGCACATTCTACATATTGACTGTGATAAGGATGGAGATTCTGGATTATAGCTTCAGACAAGAGGTGCACCACCTCAATTTATATGCTACCAAAAACCTTACCACCATTAAGGTCGTTTCAGATCACATGTGCTCAACATAGCACGGCTGAGAAGAATTAAAAAAAAAAAAGAAAACAAAAATATGAAAGGATATGAAAGACTTTTGAAGGCCATTTCCTGCCTTGTCTCTGCTGGTTTCTAGCTCCAATTGGAGGAGTTTTTAATAGTCTTCTTTGCGTGGTGACTTTTGTTCTTCCCCTTTCTATTTCATTTACAATAAAGAGGAGACTGTTTGTGTCCAGTAAGTTTGTGTTACTATTAGTGTTTTTTCTCTGCGTGCTTCTGTGAAAAGTAGGTAGGTTGAATTTCTGCTGGGATGTTATTTATTTGCACAAGGTGTCTCTATTTTCCAAGAGCATATTAGTAACTTTGGTCAGCACTGCTTGTTCTTGGCTCTGTTTTGAGAGAGTTGTCTTCTAGGCTTTGCTGTGGGTTAATGAACATGGTTTCTTATGGGAAAGCCTTTCAGAAAGGCAAAGTTACTGGAAAGCCTTTAAGGATGGCTTTCTTTCTTGCTTCATTGTATAGTTTTGTGATGTTGTAAGATGATGTTTATCTGCTGACTTCACCAGTATTGTCTTTTCAAATAAATTCTTCTCGTCAATGAGATTCTTTTGGTGTGTATTGCAGACATATAATGAAGTTCAGCATTGCTTTCTGGCCGTTGGCCTGGTGTATCCAGATGATTTATTTGTGCTCCTTGTAAATGTAAGTTGCCACAAATCTTTGTGATCTATCTTCAGTGGAAGTGTTACTTCTTGCTTTCTACTTTGATTTGATGATAGGAGGATTTTTATGACCGAAAAAGGTATTTATTGATGAAAAGAGAGTTGGAGGGTGATATAAGGGCCCAATACTGGGCCTGCTTGAACTGGTCAAGATTAGAAGTTTGACTTTGCTATCGCTCTGTTAATTTTCTTTCCTTATTTTTTGATAATATTAGGCATGTATGTCTGATTTTATTACCCTGTAATTTTCCCATGATTTTTCAGATGGTGTAATCACCAATCATTTATTTGTAACCAAACCCATGTCCAAAGCACACAGATAGCTGGTTTCTGGGAAGTTTTGGGAGTAGATTAGTGTTTGTCAGCAGCAATGTGTGTGTCTGGAAAATCTGCTGGCTTCTGTAGCCTCTAAATTCTTTTTTTTTTTTTTGCGGGGAAAATGACCATTAAGTTCTTTGGCAGTGTGCTGTCTCGGGTGGTTTATGGTGTCTTCAATGAGGTGGAAATGTGTGTGTTTAACCAAAATTTCCTCCATCCCGTCTTTAATGGGAGATAACTGCTTTCTTGCCCACCTTGTGGTTTTTGGCGAATGGTCTTTTTGGAGAGCGGAGACCATTGATGATTTAGGAGGGACTGGAAAGCTCTTTTGATATAATGATTGATGAGTCTGTGGCTTCTTTTGTCTTGGGAGGACTTGTCCTTGGTTTTCTATACTGCTTTTGTCTTATCTTCAATTGTTTTTTCCCCTATAAAAATCTTTGAAGTCTTGTGCTGAGGAGGATTATGATATTCCGTTCTCTACTCTTGCTATTAAATAATCTTCTTTTGCCAGAAATGCAGGCTGAAGGAAGAACCATTGACCTTTAGTGCACTTTGTGTTCTGAAGCACCTTTTGCCCAGGTTTTTTATTTTGCAATTCTATTGCTGATCTTTCTTAACCTTGATTCTCTAGTTTGAGCTGACAGAGTGTTCTTTTTGAAGGTTATTGGAAGTCTGGCACAATAAAAGGCCTCTGCTAGTTGAAGCTGTAAAATCCTTGCTAGATGAGCAGAATTTAGGTGTCCGAAAGGCACTTTCAGAGGTAAGTCATTTTGAACCAATATTCCTGTGGGTTTGTTTCAAATCCTAACCCTTTTTGCATTTTTTGGCTAGTGATTTTGTGTTTGTTCCTTCTGTACTTGATACTTTTAATTTGTTTGTAGTTGATTGTGGTTATGGCTTCACACTGTTACTTGGTTGGTTCATCTGGTGAGTCGTTTGTTGAATATCTTGTACGCCATTGTGCCCTGACAGATCAAAATCAGAGTGATATTGACAACAGGCTAAATAAGAGAGTTGAGGTATCCTTGTTTTTGTCATTCCCCTGTCTTTTTAATTGGTTTTCATCCTGTGATTTGTTTTTATAATAATGGTTTTTTGGAGCTTAGCGCTAGATTTTTTAGAGAATACTTAATTGTATGTATATTTAATGAGAGAAGTGCTCTTCTAAGCATTGCATTTTTGTTTTGCATTCGGCGTTTCCATGTTATTTTGTTAGGTTGGTGTCATAGAAAAGCAGTTTTCTAGGTTGATCTCACGGGAAAGCTTCTGTGCTTCAAATTCTTGCTTTTTTAATCTCCTTTCCCCTTTTACCTCTACTAAGGTTTGCATCCTTGACGTTGAAGTTTATTATCTCTTCAATCAAATCACTTCTTTCATTGGAAATTGTAATTGTAATAATGATGATAATATACATTGCACAGTTTTGCCCAGGTCGCTCCCCATCATAAACTCCTAATAGCATGTTGTTTTTTATCAGATGAAAATTGGTGTTGTGACTTCAGGGGACTTGAGAGCAATTTGCGAGAAAGGGCTCTTCTGATAACTATTACAATTCCTGAGATGGAGGTAAATTAGATATTTATATCAATTTATGGTTTTGATTGAACTCTTTTTGAGGGGATTATTCTATTATTTTCCTATTTGTTAATTACATGAAAATACATTTTAATTCGTATTTATTTTTCTACAGCCCACAGGCTTTGGCCTTTTTCGGCTGAAAATGATTAGTCCACGGACCTATACAAGTGCTGT